CAAGCAGCATCATAGGAGCAGAAAGGCTATGATGCTGCTTGGCCTGCTGTGTTCATCCAGCCCTGCACCTTGTTGTCTCAATATTTCAAGTTCAATATGACTCTTCTTCAGAACTGAAAGGGGTTGGAAAATGGTGTCTCTATGCTGTAGACAGACGGGACAGATGAAAAAGTGAAACAAATTGTGAGGGTGACCTGAGCCGAAGTTAAAAGTGTTGCTGATAGTGGTGACGGAAAGATAGAAATGTAAGAAGCGTGTGAATGAAGGAGAGAATGGGTCTGCTCTGCTAAGAAATGTCAACAAGACACAAGTAAGGCACAAAAACAGAAGTTGCCAGAAAAGCTCAGCAGGCCTGACAGCAACTGTGAAGAAAAACTCAGAGTTAACATTTCGGATCCAGTGATCCTTCCTCAGAACATCAGTTAACTCTGATTTTTCTTGACAGATGCTGCCAGACCTGCTGGGCTTTCCCAGCAACTTCTGTTTTTGTTCCTGATTCGCAGCATTCGCAGTTCTTTTGGTCTGTGTGTGTGTCTGCATGTTTGCCGGATGGGGGGTAGGGAGGAGGGTTTGGGAAGTGGGGGGAGGTGGTAAGGAGAGGATGCGATTAGAAGATTGAGAAAAATTAAGGATACAGAGGCTCTGAAGTGGTGGAATTCAATTTTGAGTGATAGAAGCTGTAAGGTGCCTAAGCAGAAAATGAGCTTGCATTGTGTTTCTTTCCAACATTGTAGCAGACCCAGAATAGGCATGTTAGCGTGAGATTTTTTTTTTATTCACGCATGGGACATGCGTGCTTCTGGGTAGGCCAGCCTTTATTACCCAACCCTAATTTCCCAGAGGGCAGTTAAGAGCCAACCACATTGCTGGAGTCACATTGAGGCCAGGTCAGGTAAGGACAGCAGAAGGACATTTATAAATCAGATGGGTGTTTCTGACAATCAACAATGGATTGATGGTCATCATTAGAACTTTAATTCCAGATTTTTTTATTGAATTCAAATTCCACCATCTGCCATGGCATGATTTGAACCCAGGTCCCCGGAACATTAGTTGAGCTTCTGGATTAATAGTCTAACAATAATACTACTGAGCTATTGACTCCCCAGTCAAGATGGTTATTGTGATGGCAAGGGCCTGGGGTCTTTCCTATGATGAAAGTGGAGATCGCCATTCAGGAAAGAGATTTAGGATGCCCTGAGACTGTGAATGTTGCATCACACTCTCAGTATCCCACACAATTTCAGCCGAGGTTAGACCAAGGTCCATGATTTGCTTGCATACTGATATTTGACTGTATCTCCAGGGTATAGTAAAACTGTCCCATACCAGCCATGAGAAGGGAAGAGTTTTCCATTCTGTCATTATCAGAGATGCACACAACCATCTATAGGAGCAAATACTGAGGGAGGAATTAATCCAGGAGGAAGCAGTTCATACCTGGCACAGGAACAAAACTTTTCTGATTGAATGATCGAGTCCCATACATTGGAGGTTCATAGACATTGTAGGTTGGTGAGAGATGTTGATTGGATGCATACTCGTGAAATAGATGATGAGTACTGTGTGAATATTTCGAATTCAAGTAGGGGTTTCTTTCCTGGAATAGAAACGTCTTCAGGTAAAAAGGATTTTAGTGTCAATTTTTCCCCCAACTACCAAATCCTGTTCATTTAGTTATCACAGTATCAGAGCACACATTTTCTGTGAGGTACACAATTGAGTGATCATTTTGTCGGTGTTCACTGATGTGCCACACAAACACAGATCCAAGCTCAGCTCTCCACAGTTCCCAAGCCGCACCTTCCAAGAGCAAGGAAGCTCTGGGTCAGGGATTACTCCAGGTCGTGGGCAGGCACTGGAAACGTTAGAGTGTGGAGTGAAGACTCAGAGAGTTTCTTGTTGCAAAGAGGGTTTCTGATAGTGGGGGGACGAGGGGCCACTGTTGGTAGAGGAGGGTATTTTCAGTGCAGGAGAGGGCATTGGTAGTCAATGGAGTGTGCACTGACACTGGATAGGGAGACTTGAGAGTGGATGGGTGAGTGGTGAGGGGAAACATTGACAGTAGGGTGGGGAGGAGGGACAGGTGAGAGGTATTAGGACTGGGGCTCCCCATGGCACACTCTGAGCACAGATATTTGGGGAGGGAGCAAAACCCAGAGGCACTAGATCTATGGAGTGCGGCAGTTGGGAAAGTGGAGTGAGACATCAGTCAACTCAACCATGCTGCTATGAAATGACAGACCAGAACTGAAGGGCAGAATGGCCTACTCCTGCTCCTATTCCTCATCTTCCTGTGTTTTATGAGCGATTACTGGTAGCACTGAGAGGACACTGACAATAGAAGGAGGGAGCACTGATAGTGGCGTTGGTTGATGCAGAAACACTGGCAGTTGGTGGGTGGAGGGAACATTGGCACCATGCCGAGCGGCATCGAATTTGGGAAGAGAGGCACCACATTTAGTTAGTGTGCATCCCTTCTTTTAGAAATGTATGAAGGAGTTTGGAGGTTACACAGTATGGAAACAGGTCAGTCAGCCTAAACAACCAACATCAGCATTATTCCCACACACAATTAACCAGTTACAGATACATAGAGTCATAGAGCTGTACAAACTGGCCCATGCCGACCAGATATCCTAAATCAATTTAGTCCCATTTGCCAGCATTTGGCCCATATCCCTCTAAACCCTTCCCATTTATATACCCATCCAGATGCCTTTTAAATGTTGCAATTGTATCAGCCTCCACCACTTCCTCTGGCAGCTCATTCCATACGTGCACCACCCTCTGCATGAAAAAGTTGCCCCTTAGGTCCCTTTTAAATCTTTCCCCTCTCACCTTAAATCTATGCCTTCTAGTTTTGACTTCCCCACCCCAGTGAAAAGACCTTGTCTATTGTCTTTAACTGCACCCCTCATGATTTTGTAAACCTCTATAGGCTCACCCCTCAGCCTCTGATGCTCCAGAAAAAATAGCCCCAGCCTATTCAGTCTGTCCACATAGATCAAACCCTCCAATCCCAGCAACATCCTTGTAAATATTTTCTGAACCCTTTCAAGTTTCACAACTTCCTTCCTGTAACAGGGAGACCAGAATTGAATGCAGTTGAAGTCTACATTCACCTGTTTGTACAAAATCTTTATGCACCTTAACTCATCATAAATCATTGTTGACATTTCACAAGTCTCTGTGTGAGATAATATCAGCAATGAATGGATTCAGTTATGAGGAAATGCTAGAGAAAGCAAGCCTCTGTTTGTTAAAACAGAGAAGATTAAGGTGAGATTTGATCGAAAAGTCAAAATTGTGATTTTTTTAATAAGGAAGTGGACCACATTATTTAACTGAGCGAATGACTAAAGGTGATGAATTCAAGACAATTGCCTTATGGAAGTAAGGAGATTATTTTTCAGAATCTATCGTGGTGTTTAATAATGAATTGGACACTCACTTCTAGAGAACATAAAAACATAGAAAATAGAGACAGAAGTAGGACATTCGGCCCTTTGAGCCTGTTCTGCCATTCATGAAGATACGAAAATACGACATGATACAGTACAATGAAAAGCCTAGGACATGGAACATTGTGGATAATTTTAGGCTGTTTGTGGAAGCTATCCCTTTTTTCCCTATGTGCTCAGCTCTGTGGCCAATTTGTTATGAACCACTTTCAGACAAACGTTTTAAGAGCATATCCCAGTAACCACACATAAAGATCAGGCCTCAGGTTCGATTGGTATAACTTGCTCTGCATTCCATGAGCCACGTTATTTATTTTAAACTGGCAAATCTCTCATCGATGGCAGCAGCTGGAAGGTTAGTGCCAGGAGGGACATACAGTAGCAACAAAGGAGCAACAGATACGTTAGAGTCAGGGGAACTACACAGGCCCCTCCAGCAACGCTCAAAGTACACAGAGATGGAAGTTGAAATCCCTTCTGGAAGTGGCCAAAAGGCCGGGAAAAGTGAATTGTGGAGGAAAAGGGAGGAATCAAATCAGAAAAAGACACCTCTGCAATCCTCCTCATACAAGGGCTTGAGACATTTTGATGGAGCTCCTCCCCTAATCACGCCACTTCTCCTCAGATTTGCTGCTGATGGATTCAAGAGCGAAGGGCCACAGCCTGTGATTGGAGAAGCAGTGCCCGGGTGAGCAAGTCTGCCAGGCAAGGCCGAGGTAGGGTAAGAAGGAGTGTCTTCAGTAAGGGGTCCGGAGGGAGTCTGGGGGGAGTGCAGGGTGGCACAGTGGCTCAGTGGCTAGCACTGCAGCCTCACAGCGCCAGGGACCCGGGTTCAATTCCATCCTCAGGTGACTGTCTGTGTGGAGTTTGCACATTCTCCCTGTGTCTGTGTGGGTTTCCTCCGTGTGCTCCGGTTTCCTCCCACAGTCAAAAGGTGTGCAAACTAGGTGGATTGGCCATGCTAAATTGCCCGTAGTGTTCAAGGATGTGTAGATTAGGGGCGTGGGTCTGGGTGGGATGCTCTGAGAATCAGCAGGGACTTGTTGGGCCATATGGCCTCTTTCCACACTAGGGATTCTATTAAAAAATGAATCTTCAAGCTCAGAGGGATGGGAGGGGTTATTTTATTCATTCATGGGATGAGGACATTGCCGGCTAAGCCAGCATTTATTGCCCATTCCTAATTGCCCAGAGGACATTACTGTGGGTCTGGAGTCACATATAGGCCAGATCGGGTGAGGATAGCGGTTTCCTTTCCTAAGGGACATTAGCGAACCAAATTTTTTTTTTTTGGTAATCGACAATGGATTTGTAGTCATCATTAGACACAATTCCAGACATTTATCAAATTCAAATTCCACCATCAGCCATGGCAGGATTTGAACCTGAGTCCCCAGCAAGTGCCAGACAAGGCTCAGGGCAGAGAGTGAATCTGCAGGGCAAAGGCCCTGGGAGTAGAGAGAGTCTGTTAGGCAGGACTTGGGGCAATAGAGTCTCTCGACAAGGCCTCGCTGGGCAGGGAGAATGAGTCTGCAGAGTGAAGTAAGGAGTACAGGCTAAGGGTAGCAAGCCTAATTGGGGATGAAGGGGCATGACTGCATAGGGTGAGATCAGTTGGGAGTGGGCAGTAGACAGTTTCCCTGGCAAGGCTGGCGGGGAAGGATCTGACAATGGAGGCAAGAAGTGAATAGCTTGAAAGATGGGAGTCAGGTCACTACATATAGGCCATAGCAGCTGCTTAAGAATCCCTGAGGTTCAGGCTTTGCCTGTGATTTAACAGAGGGGCCCTGAAACACACTTTACAAGTTAAGGAACCTTACATGTCTTTTAAACAGCCACTAGGCGCAACTAAGAAATAGCTCAGATATCTTTCAACCATGTATGGGGGCCAGGCCCTAATGCCACCTGCTTTGTAAAGCTTAATTTCTACCAGCATGCTTCTACCTCGGGCTGGAGGCAAGAAGATTAAAAGTGCAGAAACTAAAGAAGGATAGACATGTAAACCCAGGTGTAGCCCTGTGAAAAGATTACACAAATATGATTTCTAGTTCATATAAGGTTGTACTTACTGCATAATTGATGAAAGACATGTTTCAACGAATTCAGAACTGTTTGGCCCCAAGTCTTTCAACACTTGATGGAATCTGAAACGTAGAAAAAGAAACTGTTTTATGAGGAGAGGTTATCAATTAAGACAATACCAGAACTGGCAACTCCTTAACTTTAATGGTACATCATCTATTCACTCAAGAGGAGGCCCAACAGGGGAATTCAATCCAAAATGATTGTATCTCCAGGGAGTAAAGGTCCCTTTAAGTCATTCAGGCTAGTTGGATATCAAAGCAGCAATAACATTCCAAATAAAAGATCATTTTAAAGTAACAATCAACTGAGTTGACATGGCTGCTACCTCTCTATGGTTAATTCAGGATTACCATCACATAATAATAAATCTTAAGAAATTCCCATCAATGGAGATCACTTGCAACAATCCTTTAGTCTTTTTTCCCTCTTCCAGTTTGGATGCATCTCTCCCTTGCCATCCCTCCCTTCTCTCTTTCTATATTATATATTGAATGCTATTGAGCGCTGTTGGGGTTTATATTAACTGCAGCAAAACATTGTCATGACAGGATTGATTGACAGATTTGATTGATTGTAGTCACAGGAACCTGAGTACAGTGAAAAGCTGTGTTTTGCGAACAGTACAGTCAGATCATAGCAAACAAGGACTTCAGGATCATAGGGGTGCTTGTACAGAGCCAGGCATATAAGGTTATGGCTGCACACGGTGTACTCAAAACAAGATCAATATTAACAAGATCAACATTATTTGAAGTTAAGGAGTCTATTCAACAATCTAATAAGGGCAGAGAAAAAGCTGCTCTTGAACCTATTGGTACGCGTATTTTAGCTTCTGTATCTTCTGCCCGATGGAATACATTGTAGGAGAGCATTACTACCAGGGCAAGAGGTATCTTTGATGATGTTGGCAGCCTTTCTGCGGCATGTAAATAGAGTCCATGGATGGAAGGTTGGCTTCCGTGATGGTCTGGGCTGTGCCCACCACCTTCTGTAGTTTCTTGCAGTCCTGGGCAGAGCAATTGCTGTACCAGGCTGTTATGCAGCCGGACAGTACGTTTCTCATGCTGGATCTGTAAAAGTTGTAAGGGTCCTTATGGACCTGCCGAATTTTAGATTTTTAAATTTTAGATTTAGATTTTGGATTTTATTGTCACTTGTACTCTAGTACAGAAGTATAGACGTACAGTGAAAAGTGTATAATGTCGTCACAATTGGTCGTCACAATTGGCACTTAGGTACCAAGTTACCTAGGTACAAAAAAGCTTAGGACCCAACACGAGCTGCTGAGAGACCAGGCCGGGACCCAACACGAGCTGCTGAGAGGCCAGGCTGATACCCACCAAGAGACCAAAAGGGAGGAAAAAAGAGAACAAAATGGGAAAAAAGAAGGAAACAGAAGAAGTGGAGGATTCTGGTTAGAGTGTCCTGCTTTGCCACCATCTTGACCAGAAATACTGGAAATCTGAAACCAATTGACGAAGAAGAGGCATTATTGTGCCTTCTTAACCATCGCATCTGCTTGGGAGGTCCAGGACATGTTGTTGGTTATCATCACTCCTAGGAAATTGACAATGTCAATCCTCTCTACCTCAGCTCCATTGATGTAGATAGGGGCGTGACCTCTTCCTTTCTTCCCGAAGTCAATCATCAGTTCTTTTGTTTTGTCAACATTGAGAGAGAGATCATTATCATTGGACCATGACACCAAACACTCGATCTTCTTCCTGTATTCTGAATCATCATTGTTTGATATCCGTCCTACCACATTGGTGTCATCAACAAACGTGTAGATGGCATTTGTTTGGAATTTTTCTACATAGTTATGGGTGTACATGGCTGAGAATGCATCCTTGGGGGGCTCCAGTGTTGAGGGTTATCGTGGAAGAGGTGCAGTTGTCTTTTTTCATTGATTGCGGTCTGTGGGTCAGGAAGCCGAGGATCCAGTTGCAGAGGGCAGTACCAAGACCCAGGCCTCAGAATTTTGAGATTGGGCTGGTAGAGATTATGGTGTTGAAGGCTGTAGGCGATGAGATGTAGTCAATGAGTAGGAGCTGCATTCAATGTGTAGGAGACTAACATAGGTGCCCTTGTTATTGAGATGTTCCAGGGATAAGTGTAGGGCTAGGGAAATAGTGTCTGCCGTGGACATGTTTCGCCAATAGGCAAATTGTAGGGGATTGAGGCTGGAGTTGATGTGGGCCATGACCAGCCTCTCAAAGCACTTCATGATTATTGAGGTCAGAGCCACTGGGCGGTAGTCATTAAGGCACACTGCATGTGTTTCTTAGGTACTGGGAAGATAGTGGTCTTCTTGAAGCAGGTGGGGACTTCAGCTTGCAGGAAGGAGAGGATGAAGATGTCAGTGAATACCTCCGCCAGTTGGTCCACACAGGATCTGAGTGCTCGGCCAGACACTCCATCCAGGCCCGTCACTTTCCTTGGGTTGACTCCTGGGAAGATTGACCTGACGTCTGCAGCAGTGTCAGAGGGAATAGGTGTGTCTGAGACTGTTGGGGCAGGTAACACCGCACCGCTGGCATTCTGCTCGAGCTGAGCATAGAAAGCATTGAGCGCATCAGGGAGGGATGTGTTTTTGTCCACTATCTTGGTCTGCTTCATTTTGTATCCCAACATGTTGTATAGGCCTTGCCACAGGCAGCGGGTGTCCATATGGTTGGTTTGGGCCTCTAATTTGGTCCGGTACTGCCTCTTGGCTTCTCTGAGATAGTAGGAACTGCCGATGCTGGAGTCTGAGATAAAAAGGTGTAGAGCTGAATGAACACAGCAGGCCAAGCAGCATCAGAGGAGCAGGAAAGCTAACGTTTCAGGTTTGGACCCTTCTTCAGAAACTCATGGCACTACTTTCTGTGTTGGGTCCTCATGTTTCAACTTGCGCTTGAAAGCTGGGAGGAGGAATACAGCGTTGTGATCTAATTTTCCAAAGTGCAGATGGGGTATGGAGAGGTAGGCATCAGTGATCAAGGATGTTCGGTTCTCTGGTGGGGCAGGGGGACATATTGGTGATATTTTGGTAGCACCCTCTTTGAGGTCAGTTTGGTTGAAGTCGGCATCCACAATGAAAAAAGACTTCGGGGAATTTAATCCGAAGACTATTGATTGCTGAATTAAGACCATATGGTTTCCTGTCTCCAGCAGCCTGGCTCTAACTCAGCAGCAGAAACAAGCGCTGTCACATGACATTCAATGTTGATGGTCTCAAGGACTCTGCAAAGAACGATCCCCTCAGCACCTCAAAGCCAACCTGATAATGGCCATTGAGTAGAGACCACAGATTATCTACAGTGTGGGGCCTGACTTCATAGCCAGCGCAAACAGTTCCTGTGAGATTTCACCATCTGGAAACACCAAGACTCGTTTTACATAAACAACCTGGAGACCCAGGGGCTACAAATCGCAGGCACCACCAGAACACTTTCTAATGTGTTTCTCAAAAGAAGCAAATGCAGAGTGAGGAAAAACCTAAGGTAGAGGGAATGCACTGCCTGGAACTGTGGTGGACACAGGTTAAACCAGGGTGTTCAAGAGGACATTGGATGATTATATAAAGAGAACCAGTGTGCAGGGTCATGTGGAAAAGCAGGAGTTTCACATGAAAACAAGCTGCTCAGACAGCCAGTGCAGAAACATAGAAAATACAAGCAGGAGGAGGCCATTTGGCCCTTCAAGCCTGCTCTGCTATTCACTATGATCATGGCTGATCATCCAACTCAAGAGTCTGTTCCTGCTTTTCCCCCATATCCTTTGATCCCTTTAGCCTCATGTGCAATAACCAACTCCTTCTTAAAATCATACTGTTTTCTGTGGTGGCAAATTTCACAGGCTCACGGCTCTCTGGGTGCAGGAATTTCTCCTCATCAGCCCTAAATGTCATTTCCACCTGACAAAGGAGCAGAAATCCAAAAGCTTGTGATTTCAAATAAACCTGTTGGACTATAACCTGGTGTCGTGTGATTTCTGACTTTGCCCTCTCCAGTCCACCACCAGCACCTTCACATCAGTCCTAAATGGTTTGCCATGGGTCCTTAGGTTGTATTCCCTGGTTCTGAACTCTCACCAACTCTTCTCCATGTTCCTTGCAGCAACTTCCCACCCATATCCACTGGCGTTTCACTGGAGGGGAGCTTCTCTACAGGATGAGTGGAAATTGCACGACCCGCATTGCTTCCAGTCCAGAACCAAGACCATCTTGATGTCTGTCATCGAGCTGAGGTAAACAGGCAATCCTTGTGTGTTCCCACTCGAAAGCTGAGCTGCATATCATCATGGAAGCGTATGAGAGAACGGGTCTCAGGCTAAAATCCAGAAGACAAGGTCCTCTACCAGCAGAACAGTACGACACTGTCCCCTAACTATCAGCATCCACCTGGACAAGGTGGATCAATTCTCAGTGAGGACCTAAATTGTTGATGAAACTCAACATCCCTCCAGTGCAGCCTTTATCCATCTGAGAGACAGTGCTGAATGACAAAGACTTCAGCCTTGCATCAGGCTCATGTCTTACTGAGCTGTAACGTGACTTGCCCTTCTGTATGCATTGGCAGCATGGACAATGTGCAGCAAGGTCTCAGTTCTTTGCAGGAATAACTACAGCAATGCTTCCACCAAACCCTGCAAATCCACTGGCACGATATTGCTGCGAATATTCGCTGCAATATCAGTGCCCTCATTCAGGCCAACGTCCCCAACATTTAAGCACTGGAAGTGTGTGAGTGTGTGTGTTTCTGTGTGTGTGTGTATGTGTGAGTGTGTGTGTCTGTGTCTGTGTGTGCGCGAGTGTGTGTGTCTGTGTGTGCGCGTGCGTGTGCGCGCGCGGGTTTGTGTGTATGTGTGTGTCTGTGTGAGTGTGTGTGTGTGTGTGTGTCCTGAGGAGCTCCCTGACAAGAAGAGAATTCTTCATCCCTTCTTCCATTTTTAACAAATCTCTCTCTCTCTCTCTGTCTCTCTCTCTGTGTCTGCCCACCACTCCCCCTCCACCCCCCCTCCACCCCTCTCCTCCCCATCTCTCCTTCCTGGCCTTTCTCCTCTCTCTCTCCAAAAGATTGCTCCATCTTCAGTGCTTCTGAGTTCTAAGTTACCTGTGGCAGAATGTAGTCAATGAATCATTGTGAACCATTAACTTTCTGGCTCCTGCTTGTTGGGTTTATCCTTCTCAAATGTCTGTTGCCCCTCTTTCAGGCCAGTGCATTGATGCTTTTATTCTTTTCATCCCTTGGTGATGATTGGTACTCCCTCGCCCAACATCAATATTTCATGGATTTTCAGTCACTTCTTCCCATCCTGTCTTCTCATCATGGCTAGAAGTCAACAGTGCTTGAAATCTGTCACTGTAAAAAACAGCATAATATAAAAACAGAGAGATCGGGGGAGAGATACGTCCAGAAAGAAAAGGAATAAAGAACAAAAGTTGATCAGCCTAATTCCCCCTTTTTACATTTTAGCACAAATGTGTAATTGTCAGATGATGACAGGAATGAATTAAACTCATGTTTCAATGATTTATGCAGGGAGGAAGTTAGCTTAGTGGGTATGTGGGGAGTGCCATGAGAGTTGATTGGGAATGAATACACCACAGGATGTTTTGAAAGATAAGGAAGTCTTCTTGAGCAGACTAATCGTGAGAAAGATGACTAGATAGTGAAACAATAATCAAGGGGGAATGAAATAAATTATTGAGAAAAATAAAATGGTGAGGTACACACGTAAGGAACTGTGTCAGTGAAATTATTTTCATCTGTGCAAAGTCCAATGGATACACTTCATTATTTAAGGTATTGATTCTTACCTCCTGGTGACTGCTTTCCCACGGTTGCAACGTAGCTCCCAATCTGGAAACTGGTATTGATATCAACTGGTCCTTTGTGACCTTCGGACGACTGGGATATGTCACAATGGTGGCCTGATGTCAATGAGGTGCCTCCAGCAGTTACTGCCTATGCGCTGTCACTGCTTATATAAACACTGCCGCTATGACCCTACCAGGTCATTGAGATTCCCCAATTACTAATGGTTTCAGAACGGACACCTCAAAACGTTAGCCTCCTGGGTGAGGAGGGATGAACAGGCTCCCCTTCTATATTCACTCACCTTTCTGGTTGATTATAACATGGTTCATTTGAAAAGGTTCCTATCCCTGCTGCTACCTTTCTCCCAGACACATTTTAAAAGGAGCCAATTTAATTAGGCTTTCTTCAGGTAACAAAGACTGAGTTTATTAATTACTTAATGCAAGAAAAAATGCAAACACAACACACGTGCAAGACAGGTTAGAAATAAGAGATGAGTCCAAAAAGATAAACGTCTTTTAAAGATAGGTACGGATCAGTCTCTGAATTGGTTGTGAAGTGCAGATAGTCGAACATTGTAGCTATTCCAGGGAAGATTATTGGCATTATTGACATGGGTCAGTAAACAGTTGGCTTCATGTTCTTTGATAACAAAGTGTAGAGCTGGAGGAAGACAGCAGGCCTGACAACATCAGGGAAAGGGTCCAGAAGGGTCCCGACCCGAAACGTCAGCTTTCCTGTTCCTCTGATGCTGCCAGGTCTGCTGTGTTCCTCCAGCTCCACACTTCGTTACCTCCAACTCCAGCATCTGCAGTTCTTGCTATCTCACATTCTTTGGTTTTGCAGTTTAGTTGAGATTCTGTAGTTCTGTGTATGTCAACTATGGTTGAATCTCAGCATTCAGGGTGAGACAGTGTCCTTTGATTTCCTGATTTCTAACTGGTTTGCAACACTTGGAGTTAGAGAAGGTCTTTCCCTGGAACACAGGAGCAACCAGGGGATAGTTCTTTGACAGAAAACTAGTGTTTGAATGCAGGTTGGTGCACATGAGAGCATTCGATCTACCCCAGTACAGTTTAAACTGGCTTTTTGACCCCTATCCTTGTATATTCTTTAAAAGGAAAAAACACAAAATGTGACTGCATTTGGGACATAAGCCCTAGGGGATAACTTACTGTTGAACAGGGTTCATCAGACTCTTATTATCATTGATGCCACAATCCAGTCTGTTTGAAGTTTCTTTGACACCTCTAAGTGCTGAATGTGTGATGTTCCATGAGCTTCACACAGGACATTTTTTTATTCATTCACGGAATGATTGATTTATTGTCATGTGTACCAAAATACAGTGAAAAGCTTTGTTTACAAGCGGTACAGGCAGATCATAGTAAGCAAAGATGTACAGATTAAAAAGATTTAGACAGAGGCATACAGGTTACATTGCACAGGATGTGCACTAGGCAAAATCAACATTAGCAAGATCAGCATTATTGGAGGCTAGAGAGTCCATTCATCAGTCTGATAAGTGCCAGGAAGAAGCTGTTCCTGAACCTGCTGGTGTGTGTGTTTAGGCTTCTATATCTTCTGCTTGATGGAAGAGGTTGTAGGAGATCATTACCAGGGTGCGATGATGGTCTTTGATGATGTTAGCAGACTTTCTGGGGCAGCAAGCCATGTAAATGGAGTCCATGGATGGGAGGTTGGCTTCTGTGATGGTCTGGGCTGTGCACACCACCTTCTGCAGTTTCTTACAGTCCTGGGCAGAGCAGTTGTCATACCAGCTCATTAGGCACCCGGACAGTATGCTTTCAATGGTGCATCTGTAGAAGTTGGTGAGGGACCTTATGGATATGCCAAATTTCCTGAGCTGCCTGAAGAAAAAGAGATGTTGTTGTGCCTTCTTGACTGTCACATCTATGTGGGAAGTCCAGGACAGGTTGTCGGTTATCGTCACTCCGAGGAACTTGATGCTTTTCACCCTCTCAACCTCAGTTCCGTTGATGTACACGGGAACATGCTCTCCTCCTTTCTTTCTGAAGTTAATGATCAGTTTTTACTTTGGCTAACGTTGAGACAGAGCCTACACAGAAGGGATTGTTGGCGGTGACACCAGGATGCAATGAGAATATCATAATCCTGGCTAACATCATCAGAGGCACCGAGAGAAACAGGAAGGAGCTCGCAGTTGTCTTTGTTGAGTTGGCTAAGGCACTTGACTTAATCGGACATATGCACATACTGAAAGTCTTGTATCGACCCTGGTTGCCAAAAGAATTCATCCAGTTTATCGGCGACCTGTACACTAACAATTCAGCAATAGTTGAAGGCAACCATTGCAGAACCAACCTAATAAAACATCCTTACAGGAGTCAAGCAGGGTGACTCTCAATTGCCAATATTGTTTAGTATCATTTGGATCGCTGACTAGGATAGTATTTATTGCCCATCCCTAATTGCCCAGAGGGCAGTTAAGAGTCAACCACATTGCTGTGGGTCTGGAGTCACAAGTAGGCCAGACCAGGTAAAGGATGGCTGTTTCCTTCCCAAAAGGACATTAGTGAACCAGATGGGTTTTTCCTGACATTTGACAACAAATTCATGGTCATCACAAGACTCTTAATTCCAGATTTTTTATTGAATTCAAATTCCACCATCTGTCACAGTGGCATTCAAACCCACGGTCTCAGAATATTACCTGGGTCTCTGGATTAACAGTCCAGAGACAGGGACAATACCAGTGGGCCATCACTTCCCTAAAAAGCTCGCGGTAGTGGCATTCAAACCCACACCTCTAGAGACTGGAACTTGAGATCGTTGTACAGTGAAAGGTCCAGCTCTTGGTATACAGACACATTACAGTCAGAGGCACTTCAGCGTCTGGGCTAATATTAAGCTATTCAGATACAACTAGTAGCTCCCTTCCATCAGCATGTCATGTTTCAAGTGGCCCCAGTTGCAGTGGATTCTGAGACCTTTATACCCCTCAGGTCACAGGCTATAATACAATAATGATATCATATACAAGTCTCTTAAATATACACCACTGCTAACTGACATAATACAACAAACTTCTATCTCACTAAATTACTGTATCAATATTACTAGCATTGGCTGGAGGACTAGGCTGGAGTTTTACAGACTATACCAGTAGGTGGTGACTGCTTGGCTTTCATTAGCAGATAATACTTCCATTTTGGAAGTTACCAATGTGAATCTGACAATGAGTAAATGCCAACAGGAGACAACAGAGCTCGAGTAGATTCTTATGTGGCAGCAGAATGCTCTGTAAAGGTTACAATACACAGGCTACCTTCAGAAGACATTAACAGAAATGATCAGCACAGCGTGTTTTAGAACATAGCGAACTTAGTTGAGAAAAATAAATTTCGCTCATAGAAGTTCAAAACTTTCCAGTTCATTACCTGCCCCATACCGAGGTGGGTGTGGCAGTGAGGTGGGCAAATTTCTGCCAGGATTATCTGCCCATACTTTGCCTTCGAAAACTGGTACAGCCAGCACTTTGGCTGGGAAGAGCAAAAGATCTCCAACTGAAGCACAACATTACGTTTTATGTGACACCACTGTTTTCGCAATTATTATCTTGCCTGGAATGTTATCCGAATTTCTTCCGGATTGTATGAGGGTAATTGTAAAACAATCTGCCCAGCAGGAACTGACAGATCAATTGCAAGGCTCAAATTAGTTTATTCTATTTAAAGTATGCAGAGAAGAATATTTGGCAGATATAACTGGATTTCCATCCTGGAAAGATAGGTTAAAATGGACTCCACCCAACATGAATTGCACAAGACATGTCCCAATCGATTCCTGATTAAATGCAATCTGTCTATGGCCTTGATACTTCAAAAGTAAGATGTCCAACTCAGTGGCTGCTGATTCTATCTGGAGAACAACGAGTTTTCTATGTATTATAATGTAAGGTTAACTACTTTGCATAATACCATGCCTCTTCTGACTCCCGCAATATGAAGCAAAGGACAAATTTTCAAAGCTGAAAGTAAAAACCTGAGAGAGGACCAGCCAAGAACATTTCAAGTGTGTTAACAAGGTTTAGAGCTGGATGAACACAGCAGGCCAAGCAGCATCAGAGGAGCAGGAAAGCTGACGTTTCGGGTCGAGACCCTTCTTCAGAAAATGTGCGTTGCTGTTTTCAATAATTCCGCCTCATAATAAAGTTGTTGTATTTATAACTTATGCCCTGGAAGGTGGGGCAAAGTGTTTGGAATGTGCACAGACATCTTTAAATAATTGAACACACCTTTTTAATTTATAACTCACATTGCCTAATATCCTGTTATGCTTTAGGTAGCTTTGCTGGGAGCTGTTCCAAAGTGTGCTTAAATAGAGCAATATATCCAACTTGTTTTTCTTTAAAGTTAATTGAGCCATGTCCTTTAAGTGAAATCTCATGTGACAGAAGTGTTTTCACTTTTTTTCTTCTCACTCCCTTCGCTGTTTCTCTCAAAAGCAAGACATTTCAACTGTCCTTCATCTTGTTTTTGAATCTATTGTCAGTCGCCTAGCCAGATATGAAAAAAAGTTTGCATTTGTATAGTGTCTTTCAGGATTTCCCATTTATATCCAGTTGGGTGTAGTTACTGCTGTGATGTGAGGAACTGTAGCAACCAAATTGTAGGCAGCAAGCTCTCACAAACAGCAGTTTGAGAACGACCAGATCATTTGTGCTTAAGAGGTGGACAATCATAATTTCTGACCAGGATTTAGGGGGATCATTCTCCTTCTTTACTTTGACCTAGTGCCATCAAATCTTTTACATCCATCCATGAGGGCATTGATGTCTCATCCCAAAGAAACTAACTCTGAGCATGCAGCCCTTCCTCAGTACAGCACATGGAGCCTCAGCGAAGAGTTCTGCGCTCAACTAATGCAGCTGAAAGTTTGCATTACACTGAACCCATCATTCTCAGATCAGATAAAGTACTAGGGGGAATTCCCCTCTCCTGGATCCCAACTCTGTACTTTAAACATAGGAGAACAGCCTTGCAGCTTTTTTTGTTTATTCATTTGTGGTGTCATAGCAACGTGGATATCACTGGCTGAGCAAGCATTTATTGCCCATCCCTAGTTACCTTTGAGAAGCTGATGGTGAACTGCTTTCTTGAACCATGCAGTCCAGTTTTTGAACAAGCGATGTTGAAGGAACAGCGACATATTTCCAAGTCAGGATGGTGAGTGGCTTGGAGGGGAACTTCAAGTTAACGATGTTCCCATGTATCTGCTGCCCTTGTCCTTCCAAATGGAAGTGGTTATGGTTTTGGAAGGTGCTATCTGTGGATCTTTGTCACACTTTAAATTGCTACACCGGCCATTGCTTTGTCTTTTCCCAACACAGTTTAAAAGGTGCATTTATTTGAAAGGGAGGGGAATGTTTGGCAGCAGTCTGGACAGGATAGCAACCCTTTCATATCTTTGTTGTTAGACTGGAATTGTATCACTAAGTTTCACCATTAACAAACTTGACTTTACAAGTCACTGAGTTAGGGAAACATTTTGTGAGGTTTGCAGCATTGCACTATTGAGATCACCCTCTTTATTGGCTTAACAAGGGGAAGGTGGAAACAATGGAACAAAATGAATCACGCAAAGACCAATTTCTGTGCTGCTGCCCTCATTATAGTTAGTGAAGAGATCTACTCATCCATAAAACTTAATATATCCCTTTTGGAAAGTACAGCAGTCTCCCCCCTCCATATTTATTCAGAGCCTTGCCTCTATTATCACCTGTGTCTTATAAGACAGAAACAGGCATTCAGCCCCACCAATCTATTCCAGTGTTTTGGCTTTGTGCAAGCTTATCAACTGAAGATAACAACAATGCAGACTGTCATCATTTCTTATTTTTCAAAATGATGGCTCTGGGGGAAGAATCTATCACTGGTGATGGAGAGAGCTGCTGTTTGGGCATCATAGCTGTAAGTCTCTAATGCTTCAGGTTGTCTCAAATGGGGAAATCCTAGATCCACTCCATGCCCTATCTCTATAATCCTGCATTTCCCCAAGGCTAATCCACCTAGTCTGCACATCCTTGGACACGACAGGGCAACTTAGCATGGCAATCCACCTAACCTGCACATCACTGGACTGTGGGAGGGAACCAGAACACCATGAGGAAACACACATAGACACAGGGAGAATGTGCAAACTCCACACGGACAGCTAGCCAAGGGTGGAATCGAACCCAACACCCTGTTGCTGTGAGGTAGCAGTGCTAACCACTGAGCCACCATGATCTTGGTGACATTGGCTTGAATCCCACAAAAGGCAGCTGATGGAAATTAAATTCAACTAATAAATCTAGAATGTAAATCTAGTCTCTGTGAAGAGATCATGGCAACGTTCAATTGTTGTACAAGCCCATCTGGTTCATTATTAAAGCCGTTTAGGGGAGGAAATCTCTCATCCTTACCTGGTCTGGTCTACATGTGACTCCACACCCATAGCAACATGGTTGACTGTTAACTGCCTTCTGAAATGGACTTACCAGTCAGTTCAAGGGTGATCAGGGATAGTCAACAATCATTGTACTTATCAGCAATAGCTACATCCCGTGAAATAATTTTCCTTAAAATGGCATATTGCATCTCTGATGCCAGTGTGAAGGTTAGGAAATGGGTAGAATTATGGTAAAGTGAGGAAGATCAATGAAGCATTGCATTTGGAGGGTGATTCAGAACGAATGGGCGAGCTGTTCACCTCATCCTCTCAATGGTCCAATTTGACCTCTGGCAGGTCAATATCAAGAGCATAACACAGATGCAGGGTGATAAGAATGATTCAGCTTCGCCTGAACAGAAAAATCTATTGGGTCACGAGAACAAGGGTAGCAGGGAGGTGAGTATTGGGCAGAGGGTCAGCATGAGGGATGTGTAACACATTGGTATGACTGAGCTCTGAGCCGCTGAACACTCCTGTAGGTCTCTGGCCAAAGAACAGAAGACTATGTTTGATGCTTTAGGAAATAGATTCTTCTGATCATTAAAAATGCGACTGCAAGATATAGTTAGAGCATCAGAATTTTCTGCTCTAAACACAGCACAATATACACATATGTACAGTTAAATATAGCCCCTTTAAAATAACACAAATCATTTCACAGCAGTCTTATCAGGCAAAATCTAACACTGAGCTGCATAAGGAGGATGGGTCACCTTAAGCAACATCTTAAACAAGGGAGGAGACAGGGAAATGTTGACAAAGGGAATTCATTTCAAAAAGTATGACCAGCAACAGTGGAGCAAATTAAATCAGGAGTGGTCAGAAATTGGATTTGAAGCAGTTCAGAGAGGCACAGGGCTGGGACATATTACAGAAATAGGGATGGGTGAAGCCACGGAGAAGTTCATAAACAATGAATGGAATTTTAAAATCAAGGTGTTGCTTAACTTCGAGCTAGAAAGTACTTTTCCTTTCTAAAAAACACACTGTTTAAAGCCGAGACAACAAGGTGCAGGGCTGGATGAACACAGCAGGCCAAGCAGCATCATAGGAGCAGAGAGGCTGACGTTTCGGGCCTAGACCCTTCATCAGAAAAGGGGGAGGGGAAGGGGGTTTTGAAATAAATAGGGAGAGATATATTTGGTGGGGGAGCCCGGGTTAGGAGCTCCCTCCGCCGGACGCTGCATCAAGATGCCTCCGCCCAGCACCTTGCTGCACTCCACCGGAAGAAGCTCCACCAAGAAGCCCCCCCACACCGTTTAAAGCCAATCTTTTTGACAAACTTAATCATCTGTCTTCATATTGCTTTGTGTAACTTGGAGTCAATATTTGGTTATAATATTTTCACATGAATATTGCTGGTTACTTACTCTTGAAAAAATGGTAGTGAGCCACCTTCTTGAACCACAGCAAGCCATTTGGCATCTGGTGTGGTCTAGTGGTGTTATTGCTAGACAATTAGCCTATAGGCCCAGGTAATGTTCTGGGGACCTGGGTTCAAATCCTTCCATAGCAGGTGGAGGAATTTGAACCAGTAAAAGTCTAGGATTGGGAATCTAATGATGACCACCAATCTCCTAATCCTCTTAGGCCCTCTGGGGAGTTAGGTATGGGCAATAAGTGCTGTTCCAGCTAGAAATACCATCATCCCATGAATTAATTTTTAAAACAAATATCCACAGTAGTAGTGGACTGCTACACCAAGTGACAAAAATAGAAATTGCTGGAAAAGTTCAGCAGATCTGGCAGCATCTGTGGAGAGAAATCAGAGTTAACGTTTCAGGTCAAATGGAGAAAGTTGTGAAGAAGGGTCCTTTCAGTTTTTATTTGCTACAGCAATTGGCTTGCTAAAGTGTTTCAGAGTGCTTGCTGTGGGTCTGGAGTTGTATCTATCCCGAGTAAGAGTTCCTTGCATAAAGGAAAGAAATTAAATTACATTTGAACCATTATTAAGACTAGCTTTCAGTTAAGGGTAATTGAATTTAAATTCACCAGTTGCTGTAGTGGGATTTGAACTGATGCCCCAGGGCATTAGCCTGGGCTGCTGGATTACTATAAACAAAGAGCTGCGAGTGCTGGAGATCTGAAAAAAAATAAAAATAGGTGGAGAACTAATCATAGAATCAAAAGGTCGTACAGTACGGGTACAGAATCTTTGGTCTGACCAGTCCTTGCCAACCATAATCCCAAACTAAACTGGTCCCACCTGCCTGTTTCTGGCCCATATCCCTCCAATGTGGGAAGAAAGTAAGGATTACTTACTCCAGTGGCATGATCATACAACCCACCTCCCACTATTGTGAAGACCCATTGGAGGCATGTTACAATGTTAGTGGTGCTATATAAATGAAAGTTGTTGTGATGTGGATTGTTTTAAATGGAAACAACAGGAGCCTACTGGAGAAAGAGAGCCCTGTGATGTTCCGCTTCGGGATGGCCTGCCATATTAAGATCTATTTAAGTATTTAACAGGGTCAGCTGTACAGCCAAAGTCCAGGATATTTATTTAATTGGCACCTGATCAGTGATGATTGCCACTGATATAACACTCACCCAGAGTTTGGTAACATCCCAGAATCCCAATTTGGTTGGCTGTGCTTCCAACCGCAGACTTAATCAGGGCGAGGGGGGGGTGAAAGGCAGCAGTGTCTCCGACACCTCCCACCCCCAACCCAATTAAAATACACCCCCACTAAAC